TACTATGCCGGATTTCATAGTGGATCTTGGTCATTTGGTCGGCATGGATTCTATACCGGAAAAGTCGCGATACGGGGCTATACCTCTATAACGTTATCGGACCCCTTTCATTTAAATTCCGTTAGCGTGCATGCGTTCGCTCTATGCGCTGATCTTCCCCCTATTCCCCCGGTAGTAGACCCACCCAATTTCAGAAAAATGTAGACTTGTGTTTTAGCATTTTCGAATTTTTATGTTTTATTAAAAAATAATATGTACAAAGTAGTCTAGGGGCTCGTGCCCCGTGATTGTTTTGGCGGACTTGATGGACCTCCTTCCTGTTCTTCATCTAGGGCACTCAAAGGAATTTTTCCTACGCATCCCTCAATATACTGATACTGATACTAAATGATGCAATATAATAGTGCGATCTGAAATATAGTTTACCATCAGGGGGGAACATAGTATCCTCCTTTCGTTTCCTTCTAAGCAAAGCGCCTAATTTTCTTTTAAAGCGTGCGGATATCGTGTTCTCAAGGGCCAGCATATTTGGTCGGGCATCTCTAGACCACGTTTTGTAAGCATCTATGTAGTAAGCAGTTAATGTATATGAAACTGAATACCCGTGATCACCTCGTACAGCGGGGTGCCGTAGAGGGCCTCCTTTGTCTTCATGCCTCGGAAGTTGACATACGTAGCCATAATGCCATCAAAGAGAACGTGAAAAATGCGTTTTATGAAGTCCTCGACATCACGTCCGCCAACGCACCCGAGGAACCGAACCTGAAGGCCAGCATTAATATAATCAATTCAACCTACCAGCTGCTCCTTGTAGTTATTGTCCACTAGGTCGCGATTTAACTGTAGGAAATCCTCCTTACAGTCCAGACGCTTTTGAATGGGACATGTGGGGATTTCCGTGGACCCACCGGCAGTGATTGTATCCCTACGGGCCAGTTCTAATTCTATACCAGTAAGTCTGGCGTGTGCATCTTTTAGAATACACATCAGCCAAATGAAATGGTGTCTATTTTCTTTCTGTATAGACCGCATTTCTTCTTGAACCTGTCGAATGCCGTCGTTTGAGTAGACGTGTCGAGCAGGCAGGGTAACGACTTAAACAGCTGTTTAAGCTAATACAACACAAATGCACGTGTGTGGTGTTTCAAACGAAGTGCCACTGCACAAGTTGGAGTGCTTTTATGCTTAACCGGCGACTGTAACTGACAAAAAAATTGCGGACGTAACCTGGACAAGCACTAAGAAAAGTCGAGGACTCGAGTCGTCTGTTAATAAATAGCATACCCATGCAACCTAGGTCTTTTGGTAAGGCTGCTCACTATATGGCCGTCTAAACAGGATGCGGGGGATAGAAACCGCCCGTGATACATGTGGTTTTGCGCCCACTTCCGGAGAGATTAGGCTTTGGATTAAAGTAGGGGTGAAGCTTAGCGTCAGGATTATGTTAAGGATGAAGGTTTGGGTTCGTGTTATTTATACGGTTTAGGTAGGGCTAAGGTTAAGATGAAGGTTACAGTTTAGTTTAATGGTAGGGCTGCTGTTAGGGTTAAGAGACGTGAACATTTACCCCTCCTAAAAGGTATCATAAGACCACCTATTTTAAGTGGGCGGGACGTGCTTATTCCCTTGTTCTGCTTAGACGTCTATACAAGTCATCCTTACGCTGCTGTAGGTAACAGTGGAAACATTTTCTCGGCGATTTTTGTGGCAAGACAATTTTGCTGCCGTTCTTTGTATGATCTGGTGCTGGACCTAAGTTGGCGCATGTCACAACCAAGCTAAATAGCCGACGTAACATTATGAGTGAATGATAGACTACGACCAATTTGCATATGGGCTCGCCCACCAGCAAAAATGCGTATCAGGGTGGGGATTGAGGCTATCAGTACAGTTTCGCCGAACCAGAGAGGCATATCGCAGTGAGTTAGGTGAGTTTAACCCTAACAACCACGATCTTCAGACCATGGTTACTTAGTGGAAAAGAAGTCTTCGGAAGGCCAGATTAGTAGGAACAGTATATTGTGTACACAGAGGAACGAAGAATAGATGGAAAGAAATTTGACTTGGAGAGCATGCAACCAGCCAGGAGAGCCAGTCGAGTCCAAGTGGGGTTTTAGCAGCAGGCATGCAAGC